TGGAGCTGGGAGAGATTGAGTAACTGGCCGAGGATCACTAAGATCATAAGGACAAGCCGAGGCAGATGTGGGCTGAACTGGGTTTGCCAGCCGTCTGAGCCCAGCCCCTGACTGCTATGTGGATGCTGCCCCAGAACAAAAATGAGTGATTTTCCCAGCCCATTACTTATCTCAGTCTATTCATGTGATTTGCTGTATTTAAACAGCTCTCTGAGCAAACTAAGCCTTCACACACACACACACACACACACACACACACACACACAGCTTTATCAAGGTATAATGGATTTATTACCCATATTGAAAGTGTACAGTTTGGAAATGTTGACATATATATGACATACACACCTGTGAGATATATATATATATATATATAGATAGATAGATAGATAGATAGATACCACAGTCAAGACAATGAACATACCATTTCTCCCTCCTGCACCTCCTATCCCCTTACCCTAGGCAGCTACTAACCTGCTTTCTGTCACTATCCATTAGTTTGCATTTGCTAAAATTTTCTAAATACAGTATAGATTCTTTTTCTGGCCTGGCTTATTTCACTTAGCACAATTATTTTGAGATTAGTCTGTGCTGTGGAGTGTCTGCATTCATTCCCTCTGTTCCTGAGTAGTATCACATTGTAGGGATGTCCCACAGTTCGTTTCTCCATCTGGACTTTTGGGTTGTTTTTGGTACTTACAGTTTTTGCTCATCATAAAGAGAGCTGCTATACATGTGTCCGTTCGAGTCTCTGGATGTGTGCTTCCATTTCTCATAGGCCTGTGCTTGGGAGTGGGAAGGCTGGGTCATGTGGTAGGTGCTTCACTTTTTAAGTAACGGCCAGTTTTCCAAGGTGACGTGTGCCATTTTCCATCCCTCCTGGCAGTGTGTGGTAATTCCATCTCCTCCACATCTCCATCAACATTTGGTGTGATTAGTCTTTTTTACCTTTTTAAAAGTGAAATATAATTGACATAACACTGTATTAGTTTCAGCAGTACAGTGTAATGATTCGATATTTGTATATATCGCTAAATGATCACCTTAATAAATCCAGTCAACACCCATCACCATACAGTTACAATTTCTTTTGGTGGTGAGAACTGTAAGAGCTACTCTCCTGGCGACTTTCAATTATGCAACACAATATTGTGAACTGTAGTTACATGCTGTTCCTTAAATCCTGGGCTTGTTTATTTTATAGCTGGGAGTTTGTAACTTTGGACCCTCCCTCTACATCACTCATTCCACCTTTTTAATTTTAGCCATTCTTTTAGGTGTGGCGAAATCTTGTGGTTTTAATGAGCTCTTTGCTATGCAATATTCACAGTCCTTGTGACAATTGGAGCCTCACATATCAATAGTAAACGAAGTGAAGAAATGTGAGAATTATTACTAGGCTTAGAGTAATTATTACAGTTCTTTCTTAGTTCTTTTTATGTCCTAAGTACTTTTAAATGCATTATGTCTAACTCTAGCATGAACCTTGCAAAGTGGGATTGACTCCATGTTACAGGTGACTGGACTAAAGGCTGAGAGAGGTGAGGAGGCTGAGTCTGGGCCTTGCAATTAGAGCAGAACAAAGGCTGAACTTGGCTTCATCTGTTCCAGAGCCCACATTCTCTGGCCTCTGTGCCGTACTTCATTTTTTAATGTGTTTTTCTTTTTAAAAAAAATAAAAACGTGTTTTTCCACTATTACCCTCTGCCCCAAACATGGAATACAGAACTTAAGACTTGAAAACAGATAGCTCTGCTGACCTGGCAGTCAGTAGGAAAATTATTTTGAATGTAAATTCTTTGTGGAGTCACCACTTGTGAAAGCTCCAAGCCGCAAAGCCTGGCCGAAAAAATAAGCCTGCCCTGACTCATTCTCCGCCGTCCAAGCCCGGGCCCAGTTTGTTCACATCACTTACATAACCAGGCACTTTGGAGAAAACAGGATTTATGATTGTTATGCTGGGCCACTCTTCATCTGTGGAGCTATTTCCATCTCAGATTCAACCTTTAAATCCAACAAGCATCGAACTTGGGTTCTGGCAGCCATTGATGGAGAGCCTATCATGTACTTTTATGAATTGTCACATTTATTACACACACACACACACACACACACACACACACACACACACACACACCTCTCTTCTCTCCCTCTGTGATTGGGTAGTTCAGCTTTGTGGGTAAGAGGTAAGCAGTCTGCATCTGCCTCTCTCGCTCCTTGAGGGTTCAGTGCCTTGGGCTAGTTACCGTATTTTTCGGCGTATAAGACGACCATATGATGACTGCCTTACAAATGTACCACAAGAGATCATTGATGAACTTATGATGTCAGAAGAAGAACATGATGAGGATTTTGAAGGATTTTAAGCTCACAATGCTCCTCTGCCTAGAAAAACCTCTTATCATCCCAGTCAGTCACTGTAAAATTAGGGGGTCGTCTTATACTCCGGAAAATAGAGTACTTATTGTCTCTGAATGTCAGTTTCCTCACAAGGGTTTCAGTGAAGATTAATGGAATAACGGAGGTGATCAATAAATGTTAGGTATTATTCCACAAAAATAAACTCAAAATGGATACAGGACTTAAACATCAGACGGGAAACCATAAAAATACTAGAAGCATCCACAGGCTTATGCCAAAAGAACTTCACTGATACTGCCCCTAGGGCAATGGAAGCTAAAGAGAAAATAAACAAATGGAACTACATCAAAATAAAAAGCTTTTTATAGCAAAAGAAACCATCAACAAAACAACAAGAAAGCCCACGGTGTAGGAGAACATATTTGCAAATAATACCACTGATAAAGGTTTAATCTCCAACATCTACAGACAGCTGATACAACTAAATAAAAGGAAGATGAATGATTCAATTAAGAAATGGGCAATGGACCTAAATAGAATATTTTCAAAAGAAGACAGAAGGAAGGCCAAAAGGCACATGAAAACATCCTCAAAGTCACTAATTATCCGAGAGATGCAAATCAAAACAACAATGCAGTACCATCTCACACCTGTCAGAATGGCCAACATCAACAAATCAACAAACGACAAGTGTTGGCGAGGTTGTGGAGAAAAAGGAACCCTCGTGCACTGCTGGTGGGAATGCAGACTGGTGCAACCACTGTGGGGAACAGTGTGGAGTTTCCTCAAAAAACTGAAAATGGAACTCCCATTTGACCCAGTAATCCCACTCCTAGGAATATATCCCAAGAAACTAGAAACACCAATCAGAAAGGATATATGCACCCCTATGTTCATAGCAGCACAATCTACAATAGCCAGAATTTGGAAACAACCTAGGTGCCTGTCAGCAGATGATTGGATCAAAAAACTATGGTACATTTACACAATGGAATACTATGCTGCCATAAAAAGAAGGAATTCTCATCATTTGCAGCAACCTGGATGGAATTGGAGAGCATCATGCTGAGTGAAATAAGCCAGTCAATTAAAGAGAAACACCACATGACCTCACTCATTTATGGATAATAAAGAACATTATAAACTGAATAACCAAAAGATAGATATAGAGACAGTAAAGCAACAAGCAGACTGTCAAATTACAGTGGGGAGGGAGGGAGATCTGGGGGAGATAATAGATCAACCGAAGGACTTGTATACATGCATATAAGTACAACCAATGGACATAAAACTCTGGGGAGGGAGGGGTGCAAAAAAAAAAAAATCTAAATAAATAAATAAATAAATAAATAAATAAATAAATAAATAAATATTAGGTATTATTCCTATTTTACTGACATGCTTCTGAGATTCATCCAACCTGTTGTGTCTCGGTCGTTTGCTTCTCTCACGGCTGAGTAGTATCCCATTGTACAGGTACACTGCCCGGTGTCTCTGTGTTCACCACCAGAAGGGCCTCCTGGCTTTCTGTCCTCACTCATCTTTTTTTCAAACTCCTTTTCTCTCTCATGCTACTCTGACTTTCTGTGATGTAAAATTTTTTTTAATTTTCATGCTGCTTTTGGAGCAAGTGAGACAACATCACAGCTCTTGAAGGCTGTTTTATCCATCATTAAGGTGAAAAGACAGAGAGGAAAAACCCCTCAACCCTTCAGCTGCTGTAAGAGCAATAGTTTTTCATTATCAAGTCCCTGAGTCCACTCCTCATTTCGGTATCCAGAGTCAACAATGTTTAAATCCTTCATACCAATGTATTTTGGGATGCCCTTTCATTTAGATAAGGCAGATTAGTAAGACGGCAACCTTACTTCAGTTTTTATTTCTCTGTGTCAGGGTCTAGCTGCTCCCAAGAATGAGTGGGAGTATTTTTGTGTAGCGCTGGGGCTGCAAATGGCTAAATATGAGAAGCAGAGTCCTCCCATCGCAATGTGGACGGCATTGAGCGCATGCCTTTGGCTGAAGCGTGGGCGTATTCCCTGTAGTGAAGCAGCAAAGGGGGAACTAAACACCAGAGTGGGTCCTGCTGGTGATGGGAGTGGTTTACACCTGCTGGCATGGAGGGCTGGCTCATCTTACCAAATACTCGTAATGGCAGATCTGCCTGTTGGTCATTTGAACACTTCATTCTGAGCGATTCAGTCTAATTTGGGAACTGAGGTGTTGACTTCCTCGTCATCTCAGACAAGCCAGCCAGCCCAAGTGTGCTGTGAGAGTTGGGAGGAAGGCTGTTCTGGGGGAAGAATAGCAGGTGAGTCTAGAAGGGGACGCAGCCCCGGGAGGGAACTGAAAGGGGCAGGGAAGAGTGTGCTGGGCTGGAGGGACGGTTCCAGGCACCTAGGCCTCGTTGGGCCATGCCTGGGAAATCGGTCTCCATCATTTAGGGCTCCCAGTCCAGGCTGTGTCTCTTCTGAGCTCTGTGGGTTCCCATCTGATGGTTAACAGTGTCCCCAGTACACGGGGGAGTGCCTCTGATTCAGACCAAAACCCCCTGGAGATGGGTCAGTGCCTTGTTGGAGCTCCGGGAAGGCGTGGGGAGGCCCAGAGAGACTTTGCACCCACGCACCCTCTGCTCCCCTCAGGAGAAGATCGGCTGGCGGAAGGACGCCCTGCACCTGCTGGTCTTCACCACGGACGACGTGCCCCACATCGCCCTGGACGGGAAACTGGGGGGCCTGGTGCAGCCACACGATGGCCAGTGCCACCTGAACGAGGCCAATGAGTACTCTGCATCCAACCAGATGGTGAGGGCTGGGCCCCAGCGCCGCCTGGGACCTTGCCCGGGGTCGCCTGGCCAAGGGTTCGCCTGCGGTGACATCCTTGTCCGACCCTCTGCTCATGGACCTCCCCGACCTTGGTTGGGATTGGGTTTCGGTAGTCCACCTTTTCCAGCTGGGCTTCCAGAACTCCTCTTTGACTGGGAGCACTTCCTGCCCCTGGCTCCTCTTTCAGTCATTGTGCACTGAAGTGGGAATGTTTCCCCCCAGGGAAGGGGTGATCTGGGGAGATAGGATAAGCTCAAGGGGGGGAGGGGGGGAAGTGATCTTAGAGGAGGGCTGGGCCTGTGCTCCTGCTGAGATAAGAAGTTACAGGACACACCGGCCAAAGCTTCCTGACTCTAGGAGTGAGCACCTAGCACTGGGCACCATCGGTGTCAGGAGGGGGCAGAGGGCGTCCTGCGTGGAATGGGAGGCCCCAGGGACTTTCCACTCCCAGTGATCTACGACCAGGGCCCCGTAATTTAAAGGAACTTACGTAAAACTCCAATCATAGATAATGATCGATAGACCAGCGAAATGAATTCCCATCCCCTAGTCCCAACAATTACCAAGACCTGTTCAATTAAATTACTGTTCAATTAGACAAATAATAACAAACCTATACCTTCTTCCTTCCCGAATCCATTCTGGCATCTGGCCGGAAAGGAATTCTTTCTGATTTTCTTTGCTGGACGAGCCCATGTTCTCCAGTTTCATGAGGTGGCCAGTGTCCAAGCCTTCCATAGTATCCATGGACAATGGAGTCTAGGAAAAGGACTCCTCGCTGTAGAACCTGGTAACTACAGAGCTGAAATGGGCCCCTGTGCCCATCATTAGCCCTTAAAATCCTTCAGGACATTGTTAAAGGGCCTCTCAGCCTCTTCCCATCCTCCTGGCTTGTATCCCACCCTCTGCCCCGCCCTCGCCATGGCCCAACTTTGGTGCAGGGCTCAGCAGCCTCTCTGCCTTTCTGAGCATGAGCAGGACCTAGCAGGACTAGGGGGGGCCCTGGCAGGCCCCGGCGTGAGGCCTACCTTAAGGAACATGAGGCAGAGAGGTCGAGAGGAAAGTTCTCGGGGACAGAGGAGAGGTGATAGGTGCCGATGGTAGATGGCAGGGTGTGGAGGCTGTTCTTTGGGGGCCTCCCAACTCTGCCCCTTCCCTGCGGAAAGGATGGGTACACGGGCCAGGTATGTGAACCCGCCATTCATCACCTCCCCATTCTGGGTGGGGGAGGGATCCAGTTTCCTGGAGGGTCTCCTCTGCACCTGTCCTCAGGGGAAGCCCAGGCTGGGGCTGGGTGGGGGAGGGGCTGCCAGCGGTAGATGCTTGTCATGGCGGCAGTGAGTGACTGAGAGCACGTTGGAGCTGGCAGTGTCTCAGCCTGTTGGAAGTGTCACAGCTTGACTTTTGTGTTGGACCTAGGACTACCCATCCCTCGCCTTGCTGGGAGAGAAGTTGGCGGAGAACAACATCAACCTCATCTTCGCAGTGACGAAAAACCACTATGGGCTCTATAAGGTACACCTGGAGGGAGGGAGGGAGGAAAACCGGTGTCCTAATTCTGGGGGCCATGCTGACCCCAAAGTAAATGGGGGACTAGAATGTGGGGGGAGGAGTGTTGACAGCCCTACTCTGTGTATGGGGAGGGCCAGAGGAGGGGTGGGTTATAGCCCTGTCTTGGTCGCGTGGAAAATATCAGTATGAAAGCAATTTTCCCATCGGTGTATACCTTTACAAGGAATGTAAACACGTGGTGTCTCATTTAATCTTGAGGAAAACTTGGGAAGTGTGAATTCTCACTTCTCAGATGATGACATGGAAACACATGGGGTTGGGGGTGGCACTCTGGTGGGGAAAGACAACACACAGTGGACATGCACAGAAGAAAAACACAGACATCGGAGCAGGCTAGTCACTAGCCCTAGCACTCCTGGGTTTTTCTGCATTGCCTACAGGGGCACCGGTGGCTTAGCCTGGGCCAGGAATTCCCAAAGGAAACCAGGAAGGTCTTGAGGGAACAGAGCAGTCTGTGTGTGTGAATCTGTTTGACTAAAAGAGACTGTTTTCAGGTCACCCCGTGGACCATCACAGTCACTCCCCTGGTGCGCGTGCCTTTTCCCACGGTCACAGGCACACGGGGGACTAGCACACACACACACACACACACGCACACACACACCCAAGCTGCTCAGGGAGCGCCTCAAAGCTCAATGTAAGCCCAGCTCACCTCCGACTTCCTTGGAATGGAGAGGCTATGGGGCCCTCATCCCCTCCCCCGGAGCAGCTGGGCCTGGTCCTTTCTCCTTCCCGCTCTGAATGCCACCAGGAGCCTTTGTCTAGTTGCGTTTATCTCCTGCTTCTGCCTGAGGTTACTGCCGGCGAAAGGCCACGTACTTGTTCTTGAGCTCTTTATCTTTTCTGAATCTTGAGTCCATTTCAGAAGACGAAATCGAGGGAAAGGATTGTTTTTTCCTTTTCGTTTCGTGGAAGGGAGCAGGATAGCACGTATCCACCCACGAATAGCGTGTTTAGACAGTGCTGGGTGTGCTCTCAGGTGCCCCCAAGGGAAGGCATCCCCCTGGGCCAAGCCGTCCTTGCTCAGAACCAGGGACACTTGCTCAGGGAGGCGCCCAGGACAGGCTGCGGGCGGAGGGTGTTTCTGGATGTTCCTGTCACTTTAATAAGTGGCACACTGGGTGTTAGCACCACCGGAAGAGAAAAGACAACCGCTTCAAGGCCGCCTGCTTTGTGGCGGGACTTCACCCAGAGATCCCCAGGGGCCACCGTTCACAGCTCTGGCCCCTGTTAGGGAAAGAGGCCGAGCAGATTGAGGGCCTCCTTGATCTGATCCTGGGAATAGACTAGGGCAGAGCTGGCAGGAAATGGGTGGAATGTGCTGGCCTCGGAGGAGGGCCTTGCAGCATTGTCCCGCACCTGCCAGGTGTTAACGAAAAAAAAACCATTGAAACCTGTAAAGAATTTTGTAATGAGTTTATTTGAGCCAAAAATGTCGACAATTGCCGGGAAGCAAAACCTCAACAGATTGAGATAGTGCTCCAAAGAATGGTGGATTACATTTCTCTATTTAAACACCGAAATCAAAGGAGGGACATAGGTGGGTTACATGAAATTCATTGGTGATGGAGTAAGGAGGCGGGAGAAAGCAAAGCGGTGGGAAACTCCTGGGATTGGATAAAAGTAAAATGATGAAGGTATACTCAGGTGTGTGCAGGAACAATTAACATGATAAAGAAGGAATTTGAGGCATCTGTCCTGGCACCCACCACATTTGGTTGTTCCCCAGGGGCTCCGGAAAAAGGGAAGTTACAAGTTACCCAGACATCTCACAGATATGTTATCTTAGATGCAGGAAGGCAGAGGGACTCAGTAAAAGATCAAAGTTGATCTTTGTCAGGTGAAATCTCTGGGACATGACTACCTACTATAACCTGTTAGATATTTAATTTTCAGACCATCTCTTGTGGTTATCTTAGGTCTCTGGGTTTGCAAGACTGTCACACAGGCCTTCCCTGAGCTTGTCAGGTTAGCTTGTGGCTCTTTTCTTTCACACAGGGAAGGGGTCTCCAAGAAGGAGCATGGCTGGCACTGCAGGACCCGGTCTAGACCTTCAGGAGTGGGTGTGGCACGGCCTGCGGCAATGCCTGTGGCCCCGTGCTGGTTCCCTCCACCTGTCCTGTGGCCTCCTCTCTGGCGTGTGGTGTGAGGGAGGGGCAGGCCAGTGTGGGGGCCCCTTATATTCTAGAGCAGGGTTCCCTCTCTGGCAGCATGGAAGGGCAGATGGACTGACTTCTTGTTTCTCCTCCTCCCCCCCTCCCCCCCCAAGAATTTTACAGCCCTGATACCCGGAACAACGGTGGAGATTTTACATGGAGACTCTAAAAATATTATTCAGCTGATCATCAATGCGTACAGTGTAAGTCACCAGCTTCTTCCTGATCCCCGCCTCCACCCCCACCCACCTCTTCCCCTGAGGCTTCGGGAGGGAGCTGCCTGGACTCAGTGGGAGGCGTACCACGCGGCGCACTTGGCTCTGCTTCCTGCCTCTTGCCTCTTGAGCTGGTGCCTTCCTCCATTGCTCAGATTGGGGTGGAGAAGGCCATCTGGCTTGAAGCCTCTCCTTCCTTCCCCTCCCCTCTGCCAACCTGACTCTCACCATCAGTGGGTCCCTGTGAGCTATGGACGCTCAGTCAGACTCTGACGGTGCAGGTTGTGACTGCGTGATTGCCCAGGTCCCACTGTGGCATCTCGCTGGGGTGGGTACAGGTACTCTCCACCCCTCTAGTTGCCCAGGCGAACCTGCCACTGTGCTACACCCTGTGGGGAGATGGGAGGAACCCGCACACAGATGTCACCTCTGTGTGATAGGACAGTTGAAATGCCCCTGGCTCACGGAGCTTAGCTTAGAGCTACAAACTGAAATGGTATAGAAGACCCGAGAAGAATCGGCAATAGGTCTCTTGCCTACATATGTGGGATCTGACTGTGATTGGAGGAACCTGGGTGGGCCTGGGAGAGTCTGTGCTGCTGTAAGCCATTGCATACCTTGTCTCTGCTATTGTGAGTGAAGCATTTACAGACGTGGCTCAGGAGTCACCTCCACACCCCAAACGGACTGTCCGTGATTCCCGCACCTCTCTCCTCGCTATTCTCCTTTACCTGAATTCTCAATACCCAAGAAGTACTTGCCTCCACCTACCTTAAAAAAATTTTTTTTAATAAGTTTTTATTGTTCAGATTATTACAGTTGCTCCTCTTTTTTCCTCCCATAGCTCCCCTCCACCCAGTTCCCAACCCACCCTCTGCCCTTACACACACACACACACACACACACACACACACACACCCCGCATTGTCCTCATCCATAGGTGTACGATTTTAATCCAGTCTCTTCCTAGTGCCCCCAAGGGAAGGCATCCCCTTGGGGTGTCCTTGCTCAGAACCAGGGACACCTTGCTCAGGGAGGCGCCCAGGACACCTCTTTCCCCCTGATAATTATCAATCCACTCCCTTTCTTTGCCCCTGATTCTGTTATATTCACCAGTTTATTCTGTTCCTCAGATTTTTTTTTATTCACTCGATTTTTAGATTCATTTGTTGATAGATATGTATTTGTTCTCAGTTTGCTGTTCATAATTTTTTAAAATATATATATATTTATATTTTATTGATTTTTCACAGAGAGGAAGAGAGAGGGATAGAGAGTTAGAAACATCGATGAGAGAGAATCATCGATCAGCTGCCTCTTGCACACCCCCCACTGGGGATGTGCCCGCAACCCAGGTGCATGCCCTTGACCGAAATCGAACCTGGGACCTTTCGGTCCGCAGGCCAATGCTCTATCCATTGAGCCAAACCGGTTTCGGCTGCTGTTTATAATTTTTATCTTTACTTTTTTCTTCTTCCTCTTCTTAAAGAATACTCTTCATCATTTCATATAATCCTGGTTTGGTGGTGATGAACTCCTTTAGCTTGTTCTAATCAGTGAAGCTCTTTATCTGACCTTCAATTCTAAATGATAGCTTTGCTGGGTAGAGTAATTTTGGTTGTAGGTTCTTGCTATTCATCACTTTGAACATTTCTTGCCACTTTTTAAAATATATTTTTATTGATTTCAGAGAGAAATGAAAAGTGAGATAGGGATAGAAACATTAATGATGAGAGAATCATTGATAGGCTGCCTCCTGCACACCCCCTACTGGGGGATCGAGCCTGCAAACTGGGCATGTGTCTTGACTGGGAATCCAACCGTGACCTCCTGGTTCATAGGTTGATACTTCAACCACTGAGCCACGCTGGCTGGGCAGACTTCCCTCCCTCCTCCCCCCTCAGGAAAGTGGCGGGCACAGGTTCTTGTGCTGGGAGCACTAACATGCTCTCAGCTGTTCTCTCCCTGCAAAGCTCCCAGTGTGCGCCTTGCCCTTCACAGGGCCAGGTCATTCCCAAGCAGGATTCAGAGTGTATCTTCTCTTTAAAGCAAAGTTATACATAGAGTAAGTATAGTTTAAGCACCACCATTAGTTCTGGGAGACCAGTTAGCCACTGTGGCGTCACGTGTATGGCATGAACCATCTCTCCAGCCTCGGCTGATTTACAGATGAGCATTTGGAGCTCAGTTGTTCCCAGCATTGACTTTTCAGTCCACTGCTCCAGCCCTTTTCTGAGTGACCAGAGCCATCGGGGGTCCCTCACCACTGCTGCTGGAGGAGCCCTGGAGCTTGGCAAGGAGGGGTGGGGGCTAAACAGCCCTCCCTTTAGCTCCTGGAGCTTTGATGTGAGTTGGGGGGCAGCGAGGGTTTGTGGCCGGTCTTTCTCTCCCCTGCCATCGCCAACTCCTGTTGCAGCTAAGGGTCCTCTTCTCCACAAATTCTCCGATTCCTCCTCACTCCTCACTCCCTGTTGAGAGAAACTGAAGACTTCCTTTTCCTCTCTTAGCCCCCTCCCCACATACTAACATCCTCTCTTCTGATCTCTGACCTCCAAACATTCACTGGATCCCTCCGTCGCCTCAGAACCAAGAGCCCAGGAAGACAGGGTTTCCAGGTTAGCGTTATGCTCAGTGGCTTTCAGATTTCCACGGTGAATGGAAATGCAGTGAACTGAGAGCGTATTTGAGAAGAGAGCGTGTGCAGGAGGGAGGGGGCCTGGCTGCCGAGTGTTGTCCTCTTTTCGAGGCACATGCCTCGCTGTGAACCTCTTGGGAACAAGCTCTGGGCACTGGACTGAGGAAGTCAGAGTGCGCCTGGCCAGCGAGCTCAGAGGGGGGGAGCATCATCCCATGCACCAGAAGGTTGCTGGTTCGATTCCCAGTCAGAGCACATGCCTAGATTGTGGGTTTGCACCTCGACTGGGACACAAATGGGAGGCAACTGTCGAAGTTTCTCTCTCACATCAATATTTCTCTCTCTCTCTCTCCCTTCCTCTCTCTCTAAAATCTATGAGTGTGTCCTTGAGTAAAGATTAAAAAAAAAAAGAAAGAAGTCAGTGCAAAAGCTGGAACCATAGCCTGGGTTGTTGTCCCCATCCTCTTGGGGTTGGGAGGGGCTGCTGTTAGACCTGCTGTCACTGGTGGGGCGACCACAGCTTGCCTCCCGCTGAGCCAGGGCCTTTGGGGGAGCAACATCTGAAGAGCAACCACATCTCAAGCCCTGAGGTGCGCTGAGAATGTTCTCCTGAGCTTCTGGGGAGGAGCCACCTCCCAGCATGTTCGTCCCAGCTCCTGAGTCAGCCTCTGAGGGCATTTCCCGGTGAAGGTCCAGACTCCCAGCTCCTCCTGCCTTTGATGAAGGAGGGCATAAGGACACCCAGGCCCACAGTCCTGGCGGGTGGTGTTCGCCAGAAATGGAAGCCATTCCGCTCAGTCAGCGCTGTGTGGCTAAGGAATATGATCAACAATGACTAGTCGAAGTCTGTGGACAGTTTAAAGCAGCTTTATTGGGAGACAATGAGCACACAATAAACTGTACAAATGTAAGGTGTACAGTTTAAGTTCTGACACACGTACCTGCCTGTAAAACTATCCACACTCTGGCGTCACATGTGTGAGATGAACATATATGCGGCGTCACATGTATGAGATAAACATGTATGCGGCGTCAGTCACGTGTATGAGAGGACAGCTGAGAGCATGTTAGTGCCTCCCAGCTTAAGAACCTGTGCCCGCCACTTTCCTGGGGGGAGGGCAAAGAGGAGGGGAGGTAGGGCTGCTGGAAACAAGGGAGCACGGCATTGTTGCAACCCCCCAATCCCCTGGGTGGGAGCTGCTGCGCGAGCCAGTGTTCTCTCTCTGAGCCATGTTGCGTTGGCTCTGAGCAGAATCATGAGAAAGAATTTGTGTTCTTTACAGAAATCCGGGGACCTGGGGAAGCGGGCTCTGTCTGTGTGGGGGCGGGGGCAGGAGAGGAGTGGGGAGCCCTCAGCTGCTGAGGCACCGAGCGGGGATGAATAGAGACCGAGACCGGCCTTTTCCGGGGAGCGGCGTGTGGCGCTGGGGGAACCCGCTGAGGAATGGTGGGAGCCTCGCTCTGTAACTTGAGTCTGAGCCAAACCGGTTTCTAAAAGAGAACGCGTTAGGAATGAGACCTACAGTGGATGAGTGGACATTTGAAGCGCACCTTTTCCAAACGGGCAGTTTTGGCATGCGATCCCCAGTGACTGGTCAGTCAGCGGGCGGTGGTGGAGCAGCTTCACGGGGAGACGGTGAACACGGTCAGCGGTACAGCTGTGAAGTGTGCAGTGTACGTTGTGACACACGTACGTACCTGGCTGCAAAACTGTCGCCACCGCGAAGACACGGAGCCGACCAGACTCCGCCCAGGTGGCCGGGTGGCGGTCCCCTCCGCCTGCCCCCGCCCCTGCAGTGGAACTTTAAAGTAAGATGTTCAGTACGGAGATGTGAAATGGCAGGGAACCGGAGCAAACCCCGGTGTTGGAAGCCGTGGTAGGTGTGCTGGTGCTCAACGCTGACTTAGTGCCTGTTTCCTGTTGCCATTGTTTCTGGCACACGGGAAGCCCATGGGCTTGTTAGCACTTCCCTGGGGTTGAGCCTGGCACTGGCCTGTGCTGCGGTGCGTGCAGTGTGTGTGTGTGTGTGTGTGTGCGTGTGTGTGTGTGTGTGTGTGTGTTTGGAAAGGCAAGAGTGGTAGTGTGTGTATGTAGGGTATGTGGTAGGGGTGTGGGGGGTTGTGTATGATGGGGGTGTGATTGGGGTATATGGATGTGTGTGTGGTGTGTATGGTGTGTGTGGTTGTATATGTGGTATATATATGTTATGTATGTCTGTATAGTATGCTATGTGGGGGTGTATGTGTGGCATGTATGTCTGTAGTGTGTGTATGGTATTTGGGGCGGTGTTTGTGTGGTGTGTGTGGTGTGTCTGTAGTATGTGTATGGGGATGTATGTGTGGGGTGTATGTTTGTGTGTGGTGTGTACTTCTGTAGTATGTACATGGTATGTGGGAGTGTATGTGTGAAAGAGTGTTTGTGTGGTATGTGTATGGTGGGTATGTGGGGTGGAAGTGGGAGTGTGTGTGGGGGGGAATGTATGTATGGTGGCTGTGGCTATGGCTGTGGCTGTGGCTGTGGCTTTGTCCTCACTAGAGGCCCAGTTAGCCCTGGCTACCCTCTCACCTGCTCCGCTCTCTGGCCAGGGTCCAAGCCCAGCTCTCACCGGCCTGTTTGCATTGCCCTGTGCCACCTTTCCGCCTCAGCGGCTTGTGGTGCATTTCCAATGAGTCACGCAGCACATGACTAAGTGCGGGTGTTGACTTTTACCCCCGAGAGTTGCTGGCAAACCGTCTGTGGGGACATTCTGGGAAGATTTTGGTGGGAACATATGTAACAGATGGAGTAGCTGTGGCATTTAGCTCGGCTGCGGAGAGAGCAAAATGAGAAGGGCATGTTTAATATCTTGCAGAATCCAGTCTGTCACATGCAATTTTCATGGTGAGAAATCGTCAGCCCTGGGCTTTGCTTTGTACATGTGTCCTTGCTGTGCCCAGTTCTTCATTGAGAGAGACCCCCAAGTCCCCGGAGGGTGAGGGTGTTCAGCGATGTGGAGCTGGTGATAGGCCCCTCCTGCACTCCGAGGGCCCTGGCCGCACACACACAGCACCTGCCTGGTGTCGCACGGAGAAAGGGGAGACAGGACGCCAGGAGCGATCGCTGTGGCCTCCTCTCCGAGTGGGGAAGAGCAGAGGGAGCTGGAAACCACTGCCGTCTCATGTGGAGGGTGACGTCAGAGCCGTGGTGTAAGCTGCTCCTCACCGAGCACATGTTTCTCTTTTTGCTGTTGCCATAAAGTCTGCTCCCGCCCACACCACAGCTGCCTGACTTAAAGCAGTTGCAGATGTGCCCTGGGCTGACCGAGCGCTGAAGAGCCGTCAAACTTCTGACGCCCTCGACAATGCCTCCTCGTCTGAGGAGGAGGAGAAGGAAGGAAGGAATCCTCTTCAGGGGCAGAACTGGCAGGGGGTTGTCGGATGTCAGGAGTCACACCTACGTCTTCATGTGGAAGAACTGCATTGCCTGTGGCTTTGGCCCTCTGCTGTGTCTTGTTTTCTGTTCATTCATGCATCCATTCATTCAGCAAATACATGCCAACAGCTGGCAGGCATGTGCCATGCCATGGGAATAAACCTGAACAGAACACAGGCCTGCCCTCTGGGATTTCAAAGTCCTTTAGGGAAGACTGACCCTTACCAGCAGAATTCAACCCAGCCAGCCACGCTCTTCACAGCCAGAGCCCGCTTTAAAGGAAAGAAGTTTGGACACAGTGATTGCAGAGAGCACTGGGGGGGGGGGGGGGGGGCGACGAGAGTCTGGCCCCGGGCCTGGTCCTCCTGCTTTGGGCAGCAGCTGACCCTGGAGAAGCCCTTTTCTTGGGCCTGCACTTCCATAGAAAGAGAGGTTCAAACTAAATAGTCTCCGTGATTCCTACCCCTCTAACATCTTGAGAGTTTCCAGTTTTAGAGAGTGTGTAGCAAGCAGGAATAGCATAAAGTTCAGATTAGAACACAAAACCTTGGGGTCTTATAGCCAGAGGAGACTATAGGGATTCAGGTTCCATCCTTACAGTTACTGATTCATAGACTGGGAGCCCCAGTCCCAGTGCTCTTTCTCCCTCTACCAGGTTCTCCACTGACGCTTCCAGATTCAGGATCTTCATGGGGAGCAGTGAGACCCCCTCGCGGCATCCTGTTTGTGAACCATAAGGCCCATTTGTCTTTTTTTTTTTTTTTTGAGAGAGGAAGGGAGAGGGAGAGAGAACAACATTGATGTGAGAGAGAAATATTGATTGGTTGCCTGACCGGGGACCAAACCTACAACCTGGGACTGTGCCCTGACAGGGAACTGAATCCGAGACCTTTGCTTCCCAGGACTATGTTGCAACCACTGAGGCACACTGGCCGGGGCTGCAAGGGCCATATTTAACATAACTCTCCCCAGGTAGCTTCTTACACAGCTCCAGTCCACCCAGCCCTTTCATGACATGCTGTTTTGCCTCATCCCAAAGTTAGTCACGATTCCAAATTTTAAACAATTGCCTAGTCTTTCAAAAATAACTTTTAAGTTTCTCCCACTAGGCTGGAGCTCCTTAGTGTGGCTGCCGTTAGACTGTCCATCCTTCCATCCATCAACAAAAGTTTGTGCTCAGTCCCAGGGAGAAATATCATATGGCCCTTGGAATTCACAGCTCGGTGGGAATAGCTAATCACTTCCAGCAGGAGAGAGAGATGGGGGGAAGAGGGAGAGGGAGAGGACGGGATGGGGAGGAGGGTAGGGAAGGGGTAGAGTGGCGCTCTCGCAACCTTCTCCATTTCAGGCTGGCACTTCTGAGAGGAAGTGGATTTCAGACAGGGTATTTTTAGAGTTGTGGATGCACTTGCACAATCAGTTGCAAAGGAAGAGCTCTTTTTTTTTTTTATCAGCTGTTAATTTGCTAGGGAAGCTGCATATTTAGCGTAGACAAGTTTAATACTACGTGTTCAGCAAAATGGAAAAGAAGAAAGAAAGGAAACCCTGTGAGAGCACAAGGCAGTTCTGCCTACTGTTCTGTCAGAATGCACCTGAGAAGTCAGCCGGCCACCAGTTGATCCTGGGCAGCTGGTGTCCATGAGCCTCTCGGAGTGCGTACATCCTGCTACACAGAGCGTGCTAAGTGCATAAAATACCTGGGGGTAAGATATGCCCCGTCAGCATAAGCCAATTACTTTATTTGGGTTCAGTCTCCAAAGGACATCCTCTTTAGAGATTTCAATGGCAATTTTTTAAACTAACAGACACAGAAAATGGTTTAACGGTTTCACAATCTAAATACACCTGAGTATCCAGCACCTGGCTAAAGAAACCACCACAGAATATTATTAGCACCCAGAAGTCCCTATCCTATCTCTTCCCTCTCCTCCCCCCCACTGCCATTACTGTCCTCCAGGGGCAACCATTATTTTTGCCTGTTTTGAGTTTCATGTAAATAAAATCATATAGTACTAGAGGCCTGGTGCATGAAATTTGTGCATGGAGGGGGGTCTCAGCCCAGCCTGAACCCTTTCACAATCCTGGACCACTGACTTCTAATCGCTCACCTGCTGCCTGTCTGGTTGCCCCTAACTGCCCAACCCCTGCTGGCCTGATTGCCCCTAACTGCCCCACCCCCCGCCAACCTAATCACCTCCAACTTCCTCCCTGCTGGCCTGGTTGCCCCCAAACGGCCCCCATCTCCGCCAGCCTAGTTGCTCCCAACTGCCCCCCTACCAGCTTGGTTGCCCCTCATGGTCCCCACGAAGTCTGCTTGTTCAGTCGTTTGGTCATCCCTTAGGCCGGCCCTGGATGGCTGGGCAGCTGACATAAGGCTTGCCTGTGCCTCGGGCCAGCCCTGGGGGGCTGGAGGGCTGAGGGGACTGGGCGCCGCCATCTTTGTTGACGTGGCAGTCAATTAATATATTCCCTCCTTATTGACTAGGTGCCACCATTTTTTTGGGATAATGTGAGGGTCAATTAGCATATTCCCTCTTTATTAGATAGGTTAGGTCATTTGTGTCTGGCTTTTTTCAGGCATTGTTATATTTGTGAGATTCATCCGTGTCGTGAGATGTAGTCATATTTCACCCATTCTCAGTGCTGTGAGCACGCCCCAATTTAAAAGGAAAACCTATTCTGTGGATAGGCATTTGGGTTGCTATTATGGACAGTGTTGCTGTAAACATTCTTGTGCATATCTTCTAGTTAGTATGTGCCTCTGTTGCGTAAAACCCTTGAGGTCTAAGGTTGGCCTGAGCTTGAGTAGATGCTGCCGAAAGGCTTTCTCAAACACTCCCACCAGCAGGGTGTGAGGGCCTCAGTTGCTCCACACCTTTCTGACACTTGATGTTTTCAGTCTTCCTTTCTTTCTTTCTTCTATTCTGATGGGAAATCTTGGTTTGATTTTCATGTCATTCACTGTCTTGAGAACATAATTCACTCAAAAGATGTTATTCTCGATAATGTCGTTCAACCTTGTGCCGGCAGCTCTCCTCTGATGGGGGAGGGTGTGGGCCTAAAGAACAGTACGGTTCCAGGGGAAAGTGCCTGCTGACCAGATTCTGAAGGAAGAGGAGGAGCCAGCCAGGGGAAGAGAGCAGAGGGGCCATTGAGCAGAGGGATGTCATTCCGTGTGTGAAGGCCCACAGTGTGGAGAGCACAGGACGAGATAGGAGGGTTTAAGGAGCTGCATGTCTGAAACAGGGTGGGATGAGAGGGGGCTGGAGAGGCAAGTGGGATGGAGCATCTTTCCTGGAAGCAGATAATATCGTGTGGCAGGTGGACCATGACCAACATCTCCGAGCTCCCAGGAGACCTTAGTTAGATCCGTCGGAGAGTGTGGAGAGAAAGGGCACTGACAGGAGCCCACTGGCTCTTAGCTGAGTGAGAGGAAGCCCTGTGGGCATCAGAGAGCCATGGTGGCCGGAGAGCATCCTGGCCATTTCTAAATGGTTTGGGCCTCATCTTCTCTCTCCGTTCAGAGCATCCGGTCGAAGGTGGAGCTGTCCGTCTGGGATCAGCCGGAAGATCTTAACCTCTTCTTCACCGCCACCTGCCAAGACGGTGTGTCCTACCCCGACCAGAGGAAGTGTGAGGGCCTGAAGATCGGAGACACGGTGAGTTTCCGCCCCTCTCCGTTTATATGGCACATTTAGCACTGGCCATCATTCTTTGGCTTCTGATGACTTTTGTGACTTATCAGATTCTTTGAGAGTTCTGTATTCCGTCTTCCTTTCTTATCAGCCTGGGAGGTTCCTAAGCTTGCTCTGTGTGGTCATCTTCAAGGATCCAGGTGGATTTGTTTAGAAGCCCAGTCAAGCCCTGGACAGTGTGGCTCCATTGGGCCTCATCCTGTGCACCAAAAGGTTGCTGGTTGGGTTCCTGGTCAGGTCCCATGCCCAGGTTTCAGGCTCCATTCCTATAGGGGGCTTGCAGGAGGGAGCCAAACAATGTTTTGCTCTCTCATAGATGTTTCTATCTCCCTTTCCCTTTCTGTCCCTTAAAATAAAAAAATAAAATTAAAAAAAAGCCCAGTCAGTCGATGACCTCAGTACATTGATCCCTGTCTTCCTCAGGCTGACATTGTACCCTAGGTGTTTTACATCAGTATTATTTGCAGTGGGCAGGGATGAAACCAGGTCGAAGAATGTGGGCAGAGATCTGAGAGACCTGGCCTCATTCCTAGTCTTCTACAGCTCACTCTGTGCTTTGGATAACTGGACCCTCACTTTTCCCTTCTTTAAAACATGCACAAATCCACTCTCCTCATCTGTTTGGTGAAATGGAATGGAGAGCTTTACAGAGCAGAGGGCACGGAGGCCTTGTGTGCACTAAGTGGATATGACTGAGTGGTGGGGAGGAAGCATTGTATGTCAGGATGTGTACCTGTGTGCCAAATCAAGGACTTGAGGGAGGATAGATGGGTGATGAGGACACAGACGGAGCACTAGGCTCAGGCAGGCAGCGTGGACTCCAGGAAACAGCTCAGAAGGATGTAGGGAGCAGGCATGGCTGGTTACATGGCAATCTTCTGGGTTTCTCACGTGCATTATTGATCCTCTCCTCCCTCCCCTTTCACAACTGCCCTTTGTCCACTTTACAGCACACGAACTTACTCCTCACACAACCATGGTGCCCTGCCCCACCGAAAGGATAATTCAAAATAATGGTGTTGATGTTGAGAAGGACTTGAGGGACTGGGTAACAGATCTTTTTCGAAGGCTGGCTTTTCCTCAAGCATCTTTGAGAGAGAGAGAGAAAGAGAGAGAGAGAGAGAGAGAGAGAGAGAGAGAGAGAGAGAGAGGGAGAGAAAGGAAGGGAGGGAGGGAGGGAGGGAAGAAAAAGTGAAAGAGGGCCTCCTCAAGTTGTCAGATATATCATTAAAAATGATTATTTATAGCATTACCTCAGGGCATTCAGGAATAGAATGATGTTGCTGTAACAAAACTTCTATTCCCATCTTCCTATTTATGTGAGTAAGTTTTTTTTTGCAGGGAGTGCTTTAATCTGTACAAATAAAAAATAAGAATAGAATTGATACTGATCCCTGTCTTATTTAGCAAAAAAAAAAAAAAAAAAGATTATTATTTCACATTACATGAAATATTGGGGTGGAAAAGCCTCATAATCAAAGAGGCGCTTTCAATAAAATTTTTTTTTTATTGTTTAAAGTATTACATATGTCTCTTTTTTCCTCCATTAACCCCTCCCCAGCCACTTCCACCCCCCCTAAAATTTTATTTTTAATGCTGGTAAAATTTAGCAATATATATGGTGTCCCAAAAATGTATACACACACTTTGAATAATTATAAAGGCAGCGTTTATTAAAATGCATTTCATTTTCAAAATTGAGCTATCAGCTGTTAAAGTGTGTATACATCTTTTGGGGAGACACCCTGTATTGATGCTATTTTGATAAATTAAGTAATTAATCCAGATAATTAAAAAAACAACAAAACACACATACACACAAAAGCCTCATAGTCAAAGGGTCTATAGCAGCGGTCACCAGCCTTTCGGACCTCACAGACCACCGGTGTCCACGGACCACCGGTTGGCGACCACTGGTCTATAGAGATACTTATGAAAAATGGAGGCAGAAATAACAAAAAAAACAAACCCCCAGATACATGAGTTTTATAGGTCTGTGGGTGGGATATTGGGTGCAATGCGTCAGGAAAGCTAAGAGATGATGTGTGAAAACCATGCAAACGGGGCCCTTTATCTGGAGAACCAGACGCAGAGGAGCAGAGGGAGCGAGAGGCCACGAGGCGCACACAGAGGCCTGGGTTCGCTCCGGGAGGCTCTTGGCAATGTCTGCTGGCGTCTTTGTGAACAAGTCCAATACCTGCCCTGGGAGGGAGACGATGTTAGCATGTTGACAGATGAGAGGAACCGAGGCACAAAGAATTGAACTAATTGCTCAGCGCACCACAGCCAGTAAGTAGCAAAGTGAACGTTCGAAGCCAGGGCTCTCTGACAGCACCTTTACCGGGCCTCTTGGTGCCCGCAATCTGCTCTCTCGTGCCCATTTCAAAGGGCTCGTCTCAGAGCAAAGTACGATAACGAAGAACGGGGCCTCCACTCAGGGACCCCTGTTGATGGAGTGACTTTGCACTCCTTCCACTCACCGGCGGCTCAGAAGGGGATCGGGTGCTACCCCCATTGCTGCCAGCAGCCGGGATTCGGGGGTGTGATGACCTGCCCAAGACCGCCCAGCCAACAAGCAGTGGACTTGCAACAACTCAACCCACAGTCTTTCCATTCCTGACCGGCTCATCTCACTAACCCTTGCCTCCTCATCATGGAGGGAATAACATGAGTTACCGTCTCATGGGAATTTGCAATGCGCCCAATATCACGGTGGCTGGGCAGGGGTGAGGGACAAGGATGTCCTCAAAGAGAAATATCTTATCTAACAAAAAAGTAATGTGCAGATTGACCATCACTCCAATGCACAAGATGGCTGCCCCCATGTGGTCAAAGATCCTGCCCCCATGTGGACAGAAGATGGCCAGCAAGGGAGGCACCAGGTCTGTGAGAGAGGGCAGTTGGAGAGATCAACCCTGCAGGGGAGGGCAGTTAGGGGTGACCAGGCTGGCAGAGGAGGGAAGTTGGGGGGCGAACAGGCTAGCAGGGGAGCAGTTAGGCATCAATCAGGCTGGCATGGGAGTGGGTAGGGGGTGATCAGGCTGGCAGGCAGAAGTGGTTAGGGGCAATCAGGAAAGCAGGCAGGCAAACAGTTGGGAGCCAGCAGTCCTGGATTGAGAGGGATGTCCCAGATTGGAAAGGATGCAGGCTGGGCTGAGGGACACAACCCCCCCCTTCCCCACACCAGGCCTCTAGTTACATAAATAAGACCTTGAAAGCCCCCAGTCCAATGAGGTGCTCTTCTCCAGGGACTTCGGATTCCCCCCTAGTTTTCCTCCCCTCATCCCAACACGAACCAGGACGACTGACAGGCCCAGTCGTGGGAGTCGGTTTCTCATCGACTGGCCTTGACAAAGCAGCATGCGAGCAGCCTGTGCAGTGAGCACTAGCGCCCAGGACAAAGGGCCCAGTGAGCTGCCCGGCGTCCCGTTCCTGTCCCTCCTCTGGGCTTTGTACCCTGTGCCCACCCAGCGCTTTGTTTCCCTGAGCTCCTGGTGGGCTTGGCACCGGGCAGCCCTGGGCAGGTGGGTTTGGGGTGGGGGCTGGGTGGCCCGTTGGAAAGAGTGGGTCAGACCAGCTGCCCGGCTGAGGAACCAGGAGCATCCTAATGAGGGCTGAATAACAGGATGGGGCAGGAGGGAGGGCTGCTCCGTCCCTGACCTTCCTCTCCCATCTCGTGGGAGAATGGGGAGTCGAATCTGTCATAACCAGGGAAGACACCTGCCAGACTCCGGTTTCTTTCCTGCTCCCCTGGGGAAATGGGCTCTGAAAGGGAGGGTTGCAGAACCGGTTTACTTACTACTCCCTAGTGCTTTTATAGCATTTCTGTGCCCAGCAGGACCAGGGGCTGGAGCAGCCGTTCTGTGGTCATGGCAGGGAGAGGGGGGCGGCTGCATGAAGGCCACTGGACCTGTTTGAAGGCCGGGTCCTCCTTGCTCCCCAGCCAGACAGCCATGGTGAGAGCTTTTTAAAATCCTGGGCGATCAGCTGCCAGTGTTGATTCGGGGGCTCCCCTCACCTCTTACTCCCAGCAAACACAGACACATCAGCATTTCATTCTCTCCTTCTCTCTCTACCTCTCTCTCTCCTTCTCTCTCTCCCTCTCTCTCTCCCTCTCTCCTCTCTCTTCCTCTCTCTCTCCTTCTCTCTCTCCCTCCCTCTCTCTCCCTCTCTCTCTCCTCCTCTCGCTGCTGTGACCCATGACACGGGCAAGACTTCCTGGGGGAGGTGATGCCCACAGATGGACATGCCCCCAGTCTCAGTAATTAAACGCCTCTGGCTGCTGGTCCAGCTCGCCCCTTTGTAGTTGATTCCACTTCTGACCCACGGATGCCTGTGGGGGCAGGGCTCTTCATGTAACACATGCAGCAAAGCGCAGCCCTGGGGAGCAGGCCGCGGAGCACGTCACGGCCTCTCCCCGAGCTAGCTTCGGGAGAGGGAGCCCACCTCCGCGTGCTGCCTGTCCCCGTGGAGGTTTCGGTCGGGCGCGGGCTCCCCTCCCTCCTCACCTGCAGGCCCGGGTCATCCTGAGCCAGGCAGGAAGGTTTGGAGGAGCCGCTGGCCCTGGGGGCGGGGTCACCCTCTGGTCTCCACGGTGAGCCAAGCTGCCTCTCCCTCTGTGCCCAGGCGTGGACTCGGGGCACCTGTCTCATTCCCACTTCCGGGAGGTAACGTGCCAAGGCTAGCACAGGCCCGCCTCTCCCCAGCTGGGAGACCCCTTTTATCTCTGGTAAATGAGGATGTTTTCTTCGGGGGCATGTGAGTGAACTGCTCACGGAAGAGCCTGCACAGTGGGTGCTTGGCACCCGGGCACTGTTAGTGTGTGTTGTCATAGGCAGATCTCACTGCCAGGTGGGTCCCCATCTTGTTACTGTGCCTCAGGGCCTTGGAACTTAGTCTTGAACTTGCTTTTGTCAATCTCTATTCCCCCCAGTCCCCAACACACACACACACACACACACACACACACACACACACACACACACACACACAGAGGGTGGGCTAGTCCCCACTGTCTGCACTTGGCTACTTGGCTTGCTTTCCCAGTGTCCTCTGGCCCTGGCTCCTGGTCACTGTCATCTCCTGTGACCCCCTTTGGCTAATGCGGACTCCTGGGTGTCTGCTGTGAGTCCCCCGAAGCCATGGCTGGCTGCCCAGCAGGACTGTCCAGGATCTAGACAGCTGGGTCTGTCTTCCTCTTCAGACTCTCACACCTCCACCCTCACTCCCTTCCCCCAGGTGTCCCTAGATGTCACAGTATCTGAAGGGAAGCTTTTTTAGAATTACTCAAGATCCCAAAGTGATCTGAAGAACATTTAGAGAAAAATACGTTCCATGTTCTCCAGAAGTACACATCATCACCTAAAGAGTGCCCTGTAAAGCAAATTATTGGTGACTTTTAGAAACTCGGCTGTATTTCAGCCCAAATAATAGAATTAAGAATAATAGTCATTTGCTGAAACCAGTTTGGCTCAGTGGTAGAGCATCGGTCTGCGGACTGAAAGGTCCCGGGTTCGATTCTGGTCAGGGGCATGTACGTTGGTTGCGGGCACATCCCCGGTAGGGGGTGTGCAAGAGGCAACTGGTCGATGTTTCTCTCTCATCGACGTTTCTGGCTCTCTATCTCTCTCCCTTCCTCTCTGTAAAAAAATCAATAAAATATATTAAAGGAAAAAAAAGAATAACAGTCATTAAAGATGATTGCTAACCCATTTGAACTTCAGAATGATTTGTGGAGACTTGAAAAATAAAGACACCTGGGCCAGACATGGTGAGACAGTTTTTGGAGTCGGCCCGGGCCTCTGTCTGTGTAGGAAGCACCACCATGCAGGGGAGGAGCACCACCATTCAGGGAGAAGCACCGCCATTCAGGGAGAAGCACCACTGTTCAGGGAGAAGCACCACCGTTCAGAGAGAAGCACCACCATTCAGGGAGAAGCACCACCGTTCAAGGAGAAGCACCACTGTTCAGAGGAGAAGCACCACTGTTCAGGGAGAAGCACCACTGTTCAGAGAGAAGCACCACCGTTCAGGGAGAAGCACCACCGTTCAGAGGAAAAGCACCACTTGTTCAGGGAGAAGTACCACCATTCAAAGGAGGAGCACCACCGTTCAGGGAGAAGCACCACCGTTCAGGGAGAAGCTCTGCAGATGGTATTTGGTCAGGGTGTGCCAGATCCCTGTCTGGATTTCCACAGTGCCCTGCTCCGAGGGCAGTGCTGGATGAATATAACCACACATGGCTCCGTTCTCAGTGGGAGGAGGGCAGTGGAAGAGTCGTGCTCTACTTCCTGGGAGAATCACACCAAGCAGTGCCCTTGCTTTCCTCCCATTGCTGCCTGATTCCAGGGCAATGCATAAGTAGCTTAGGGGTTAGCAATGCTTCTTTACATGCTTTGTTTAAAAAGAAGCAGCCTGGCCCTGCCAGTGTGACTCAGTGGTTGAGTATTGACCCATCAACCAGGACAGTGGTCGGCAAACCGTGGCTCTCGAGCCCCATGCGGCTCTTTGGCTCTTCCACAAAATACCACGGCCTAGGCAAGTGTATTTTGAGGAAGTGGCATTAGAAGAAGTCTAAGTTTAAAAATTTTGGCTCTCAAAAGAAATTTCAATCGTTGTTCTGTTGATATTTGGCTCTGATGACTAATGAGTTTGCCGACCACTGAACCAGGAGATCACCGTTTGATTTCCCAGTTGGAGCACATGCCCGGGTTGCAGGCTCGATCCTAGGAGGAGGCCTATTTATTGTCCCTTCTCCAGCAGGGAGAAATCCTCTCTTCAGAGGGGTCTGTGGGATCCCCGGGACCCCTGCGCTCAGGGAACATGTGACGCAGTGCCTGGTGCAGATTTCCAGAATGGAGCTGGAGAGAGGATAGGAGACAGGTGAAAAGAAAGGGGAGGAAAGAACCCTTGCGTGAGTCTTTCTCCTTTTCTGTGGAGCCATTTCCTCAGAGTCATGAGGATTAAAAGAGATCATAAACGCTCAGGACCAAGCACCATGCCTGGCAAACGTGCTGGAGCTTGCTGACCTGGGCCTCTTCCTCCGGGGCTGTGTGCGTGGACAGGGCCGGGCGTAGCCACAGCTCTCCCCGGAGGCCCCAGAGCAGTGGTTATCAACCTTTTTAATGACCCCCCACCATAACATGATTTTCATTGCTACTTCATAACTGTAATTTTGCTACTGTTAATAAATCGTGATGTAAATATCTGTGTTTTCCGATGGTCTTAGGCTCTACAGCAGTGGTTCTCAACCTGTGGGTCGCGACCATCAGAAAACACAGATATTTACGACCGGCAGGTTGAGAACCGCTGCTGTAGAGTCTAAGACCATCGGAAAACACAGATATTTACATTACGATTCATCATAGTAGCAAAATGACAGTTATGAAATAGCAACAAAAATAATTTTATGGTTGGGGGTCACCTCAACATGAGGAGCTGTATTAAAGGGTCGCAGCATTAGGAAGGTTGAAAACCCCTGTCTCAGAGGAACCGCTCCCGGCCGGGGCCCTGGGTGATTGGCAGGCCGGAGCACATACCCTGGCTGACGGTGCCCTCGACGTCCCCTCTCTTCTTTCTGCCCAGGCATCCTTTGAAGTGTCGGTGGAGGCGCGGAGCTGCCCGGGCAAGCACGCAGAGCACACGTTCACCCTGCGGCCCGTGGGGTTCCGGGACAGCCTGGAGGTGGGGGTCACCTACAGCTGCAGCTGCGGCTGCAGCGCAGGGCAGGAGCCGGACAGCCCCCGCTGCAGCGGGAACGGGACCTACGTCTGCGGCCTGTGCGAGTGCAACCCCAGCTACCTGGGCAGCCGGTGCGAGTGCCAGGAGGGGGAGAACCCGAGCGGGCTGCAGAACCTGTGCCGCGAGGCGGAGGGCAAGCCGCTGTGCAGCGGCCGCGGGCAGTGCAGCTGCAGCCAGTGCTCCTGCTTCGAGAGCGAGTTCGGGCGGATCTACGGGCCCTTCTGCGAGTGCGACAACTTCTCCTGTGCCCGGAACAGAGGCGTCCTCTGCTCAGGTAGGCGCCCCGGGCAAGCACTTCCGCTCTGAGGCAGGCCCCGTGCCCGGTGCTGTGAGGACATCCCTCAAAGCATGCCTTTCCCTGACTACTACCCCTGTCCTTATGGGAGGCAGCAGGGCAAGCCTTGCCCACCACCAGGCCGGGGGGTGGGGGGGGGGTGGGAAGGACCAGCGCATCAAATACGAAAGCGGGAGAAGGCGCCGCCCCATGACGTGGGCTCTGTGTCGGAGGCATCTGTCACGGCTCACCCAGGACTTGCCTGCGCAGGTGGGTGTTCCACCTCTTCTTGGTTGCCTCCTGGGACGGGGAGCTCCCTGCGGCTGGTCGTGGTTAGTCCCGTGTTGGCTGTCACATTCATCTCTGATCGCTGTTTTAACAAGTTACCAGTAACTTAGTGACTGAAGACGACACGGGTTTATCCTGTTACAGTTCTGGAAGTCAGGAGTCGGAGATGGGTGCTGCTCAGCTACAGTCGAGGTGTGGGCAGGGCTGCGTTCCTCCTAGCGGCCCTGGGGGAGAGTCCACTCCGGCCTCTCCTGGTTTTCGGGAGCCACCAGCATTCCCGGGCCTGCAGCTCCCGCCTCCAGTTCCAAAGCAGGCGGTGCAGCGCCCACAGACGCCATGTTTCTCTGACGCGCCTGCCTCCCTGTTAAACGGGTCATCCAGGAAAGCCTCCCACCTCCAGGTCCTTGACTTAGTCACAAAGCTGCAAAGCCCTTTTTACCACATCCGGTCACACAGAAGCAGCTCTGGGGGTGAGGCGATGGACATCTGTGGGGGGCCATGTTCTAAGAGGAAGGAAGAAGGATAGAGAGCTAGAAACATCAATGAGAGAGAGACATCGATCAGCTGCCTTCTGCACACCCGCCACTGGGGATGTGCCCGCAGCCAATGTATGTGCCCTGGGCTGGAATCGAACCTGAGACCCTTCAGTCCGCAGACCGGCGCTCTGTCCACTGAGCCAAACCGGTTTCGGCGAAAGCTTCTTATATTGAACAAAAAATTGTTCCTCGGTTACTCTTCCCCAATGGTTTACAGTCTAGATCCTCTCTCCACGTGACCGCCTGTTGAGCATCTGGAGTGTCTGTATGTTCCTCTGTCCTCCTCCAGGCCTCTGCGGGAGGACTCTGTCGTTCTGTGCCACGTGCTTCCCGGCCGCTGGCGCGGTGTTTGTCCTTCTGCGTAACGGGGCTCGGCCCGGGGCTCCGAGGGACGTTGGCTTCCTGTGGTCTGTCCAGGCCACTGCCATCTGCACGTCCTAGCAACGCCTTCACTTTTCTGTTCGACGGTCACATTATACCGTTGAGCTTGTTTTTAACTTGACTGCCAGCATTTGAAACTCTTAAATTTTGTTTGAAGTTCAGTCCAACCAAGTTTTTATTATGTCACGTTTGAGCCCTTGGGTTTTTAAATCTGGGCCTCAGACTTCTCATGGACTCCAGTGGGATTACAATTGGGCAGCTCCCATTCTGGGAGTTGTATGCCGATGAGATAGTCTAGGGCAGCGGTCGGCAAACTCATTCGTCAACGGAGCCAAATACCAACAGTACAGGATTGAAATTTCTTTTGAGAGCCAAAAACCGGCTTCTGCACGTGGGCCATGAAGTTTTAATCGCATTGTATGTGCCACGCCCGCACGTGGTATTTTGTGGAAGAGCCACACTCAAGGGGCCAAAGAGCTGCATGTGGCTCGCGAGCCGCAGTTTGCCGACCACTGGTGTAGGGTCATGTCTCCAGAGGGCCATTCCACCCCACACGAGGCCACTGCACACAGAGGAAGCAGAGCAGTTGTAGGTGGGACTCAGTGTCATCTGCTGTGGGTCCTGTTGTGTATTCCGTGTGTACTTGATTGTCTCTAGAACTCCTTCCCGAGAATGGCCTCCCAGTCGGGAAGCATTGCTCTAAAAGGAACTTGGAGTGCAGCAGGGGAGATAAAGCCAATCACAGCGTATACATGAGCTATCCCTGTGGGCGGAAGAAGCCAGTGCTAAGGGCTGCACAGCTGCGGGTCAGCAAGTGAGGCCTCCCAGGGCTGACCACACCGTGAGACATGCATGAGCGCACCCACGGGTGCAGTGGGACCAACATGTTCCAAAGTTTTGGAGCTGCTCCAGAAAGTGCAGGACACGGGAGTGCCACAGAACTGTTAGGGTTTGATGTGCTGAACAGGCAACAGGGGCCCACTCTCCCCATCCAGGGATGATGGATTGGAGTAACTGGCTGGACCCAGCAGGGTTAGCAAAAAACGTGCTTAGGATCAGGCAGACCTGGCTCTAATTCCAGTAATACCACGTGCTGCGGGGCCACCTGGACACGGAGTTGTTCTGAGCAACAGGAGGATGTAGAGGAAGCACAGTGTTCATTGCCTGGCACAAAAGGAGGGCGTGCTGACCCCCGACTCCCTTGAGAATCAGTGCCACACAGCTCTGGGAGCCGCAGTTGCTGTTGTGAGGGTGAGGGTGTGGGGAGGCTGCTTCCCTCTCTGACGGGGGGCACCCTCCCCACCCCAAGTCCCCCTGTAAATCTCTGGCTTGCCTAAGAGTCCCCTGGGGCTGGAGTCCCAGCCTCTGAGCAGCTCCCATAAAAGCTCCTGGAAGACTGGCAGTGTCTGCAGTTGGCTTTCAGCAGTGTTTGTTTTGTTTTTAAACATTTTAGCAAATATTTTCACAGAACTGTCACTGCTTTCCCCCCAGGAGCCAGAAATAATCCTCTGACAGGTCCTCATCCGGAGGCCGCTGTGTCCGCACTGCCGTCCGCACTGCCCGGGAGCCAGGGCTCCCGAGTCAGTGACACGCACACTCTGTCCCCTACTGCGCGGGCTGTCCTGGACTCGGCTCTGCTGTCCTTAACGTGGCCAACACCTCTCGTTTCTTTGAGAACCGAAGGAGGCATCGATACAGGGCCTGGCCTGGGGCTGGGCAGGAAACCGCCCATCCCATGTGTACAGAGGCCTCCTCTCTCTCTCCAAATTGACTGAATGGGCCCTCAGCTGGAGGTGAAGGGCGGGTGCTGGATGAGGCGTGCGTGGCCTCCGTAGTGAGACCTCGTCACTTTGGAAACAGGAATTGTCTCGTCTGTAGCTGAGTGGGAGTGCAGCTCTTTTGCTACCGAACGCACAGTTCCGAGTTAGTCTTGCCCTCCGGGCTGCCAGCCCCATGCTCTCCCCATGCTCTCGCTCCCTGCTCCCTCCATGCAGCCCTGCGGTGGAGACACGGAGGTTCGAGAAGCCTTTCCGGTCCCCCATGCACGATGCTTCAAGTCACTAACTCCCGGGGTTGCTGACATGCGGTGTCTTCCCTCCCCCCCCCCCCCCCACACACACACAAACACACTGGGAACACCATGCACATTCTTTTTAAAAAATATATATTTTATTGATTTTTTTTACAGAGAGGAAGGGAGAGGGTTAGTGAGTTAGAAACATTGATGAGAGAGAAACATCCATCAGCTGCCTCCTGCACACCCCCTATTGGGGATGTGCCCGCAACCAAAGTACATGCCCTTGACCGGAATCGAACCTGGGACCTTTCAGTCCACAGGCCAATGCTCTATCCACTGAGCCAAACCAGTTTCAGCTGCCATGCACATTCTTAAAGAAAATGGAACAATACCAGGAAGTTGAAGGATGATGTGTGGTCATTCTGTTGCCTTGGTGACCGGGACTGATTGGGCCACCTGGTGAGCCAGATTAGGAACTTCTGTCGCCCTCACTGGTTCGCATGTGCACAGTCAAGAGCATGACTAGCTAGTGGGGGCTCCTTTTTGGGTCTGGAATGTTCTGAAGAGGAGAAAGAAAGATACAATTCCATCACTCGTGCTTTAAGGGTTTGTCTTTTTCCTTCTGAACTTTTTTTGAAGTTAGTGTGTCTGTGGCCTTGTACAGTTTTGGGTCTTGTTCCCCCTCCCCCCCGAACCACCTTATCTGTTATATCCTAAGAAGCACCAGAAGTTCAGTTATTTTACTCCATCGTCCACTAGGCCCAGGGTTGGCAAACGGCGGCTCTTGAGCCACCTGCAGCTCTTTGGCCCCTGGAGTGTGGCTCTTCCACAAAATACCACGGCCTGGGCGAGTCTATTTTGAAGAAGTGGCGTTAGAAGAAGCTTAAGTTTAAAAAATTTGGCTCTCAGAAGGAATCTCAGTCGTCGTTCTGTTGATATTTGGCTCTGTTGACTAATGTGTATGCCGACCACTGGAACAGGCCATTTTGACGCTTTTTCCCATCACATCCCCGACGAGCCCCCCTTCTCCCTTCACTTTAAAGCAACAGCGAGTTGAAACGTAAAGCTTTCCAAGTCCTCGTGGGGAAGGCAGTTTCTGGAATGAGGTCACTGTTGTTTGGATTATTGAGGCAGGGCTTGAAACGAGCCAGCTCGGGGCAGGGCTTCACAGCACGCCCAGGCAGCGGCTCCTGGAGCGTCCATGCAGCTCCCAGCTCTCCGTTCCTCCCTTGTCTCTCAGACTCGACAGGAGGGGGCTGTGAGTGGGGATGGGAGGGTCTCCATCCCTCCGTTCCTCTGTATCCGTGGCCAAGGGCTCGGAGCTCCCGCTCTGAGGTTGTGCGTGTTGGCTTTGAGCTCTTGTGCTGCTGCTGCTCCATTTGGGGTTTTTGTGGGAGAAGTCTGTTTCCCAATAGCCACTCTGGTCTTGAAGATGCTGACTCAGACTCCCGGGCAGCTGACATCAGCGTTCCCTCGATCTTCCTCACCTCTGGGCCCCGCAGCCCGTCCTGCAGGGTACTGCGGTTGTGGTTTGACTTCAGATGGGGGAGGAGGTAGAGCCAGGTCGGAACTGCTGGGACAGCTCCTTCCACTTCTCTCTGGTCTTTGCGTCTATGAAAGGCTTAGAGTCCCTCTGCCCAGCTCCCCCACCCAGAGCCAGGACCGGGGGCGGGGAACGCAAGCTGTTACGGGTTTGTAGGAGGTCACACACCATGAAAGTTAGCAGTGAGGCAGATCAGACTAAGGTCTGGAAGCGATTGGACAGCCATGCTATTGCT